TCTCCCCATGGCCCTTCATCTTGCTTCTCCCCATGGCCCTTCATCTTGCTTCTCCCCATGGCCCTTCATCTTGCTTCTCCCCATGGCCCTTCATCTTGCTTCTCCCCATGGCCCTTCATCTTGCTTCTCCCCATGGCCCTTCATCTTGCTTCTCCCCATGGCCCTTCATCTTGCTTCTCCCCATGGCCCTTCATCTTGCTTCTCCCCATGGCCCTTCATCTTGCTTCTCCCCATGGCCCTTCATCTTGCTTCTCCCCATGGCCCTTCATCTTGCTTCTCCCCATGGCCCTTCATCTTGCTTCTCCCCATGGCCCTTCATCTTGCTTCTCCCCATGGCCCTTCATCTTGCTTCTCCCCATGGCCCTTCATCTTGCTTCTCCCCATGGCCCTTCATCTTGCTTCTCCCCATGGCCCTTCATCTTGCTTCTCCCCATGGCCCTTCATCTTGCTTCTCCCCATGGCCCTTCATCTTGCTTCTCCCCATGGCCCTTCATCTTGCTTCTCCCCATGGCCCTTCATCTTGCTTCTCCCCATGGCCCTTCATCTTGCTTCTCCCCATGGCCCTTCATCTTGCTTCTCCCCATGGCCCTTCATCTTGCTTCTCCCCATGGCCCTTCATCTTGCTTCTCCCCATGGCCCTTCATCTTGCTTCTCCCCATGGCCCTTCATCTTGCTTCTCCCCATGGCCCTTCATCTTGCTTCTCCCCATGGCCCTTCATCTTGCTTCTCCCCATGGCCCTTCATCTTGCTTCTCCCCATGGCCCTTCATCTTGCTTCTCCCCATGGCCCTTCATCTTGCTTCTCCCCATGGCCCTTCATCTTGCTTCTCCCCATGGCCCTTCATCTTGCTTCTCCCCATGGCCCTTCATCTTGCTTCTCCCCATGGCCCTTCATCTTGCTTCTCCCCATGGCCCTTCATCTTGCTTCTCCCCATGGCCCTTCATCTTGCTTCTCCCCATGGCCCTTCATCTTGCTTCTCCCCATGGCCCTTCATCTTGCTTCTCCCCATGGCCCTTCATCTTGCTTCTCCCCATGGCCCTTCATCTTGCTTCTCCCCATGGCCCTTCATCTTGCTTCTCCCCATGGCCCTTCATCTTGCTTCTCCCCATGGCCCTTCATCTTGCTTCTCCCCATGGCCCTTCATCTTGCTTCTCCCCATGGCCCTTCATCTTGCTTCTCCCCATGGCCCTTCATCTTGCTTCTCCCCATGGCCCTTCATCTTGCTTCTCCCCATGGCCCTTCATCTTGCTTCTCCCCATGGCCCTTCATCTTGCTTCTCCCCATGGCCCTTCATCTTGCTTCTCCCCATGGCCCTTCATCTTGCTTCTCCCCATGGCCCTTCATCTTGCTTCTCCCCATGGCCCTTCATCTTGCTTCTCCCCATGGCCCTTCATCTTGCTTCTCCCCATGGCCCTTCATCTTGCTTCTCCCCATGGCCCTTCATCTTGCTTCTCCCCATGGCCCTTCATCTTGCTTCTCCCCATGGCCCTTCATCTTGCTTCTCCCCATGGCCCTTCATCTTGCTTCTCCCCATGGCCCTTCATCTTGCTTCTCCCCATGGCCCTTCATCTTGCTTCTCCCCATGGCCCTTCATCTTGCTTCTCCCCATGGCCCTTCATCTTGCTTCTCCCCATGGCCCTTCATCTTGCTTCTCCCCATGGCCCTTCATCTTGCTTCTCCCCATGGCCCTTCATCTTGCTTCTCCCCATGGCCCTTCATCTTGCTTCTCCCCATGGCCCTTCATCTTGCTTCTCCCCATGGCCCTTCATCTTGCTTCTCCCCATGGCCCTTCATCTTGCTTCTCCCCATGGCCCTTCATCTTGCTTCTCCCCATGGCCCTTCATCTTGCTTCTCCCCATGGCCCTTCATCTTGCTTCTCCCCATGGCCCTTCATCTTGCTTCTCCCCATGGCCCTTCATCTTGCTTCTCCCCATGGCCCTTCATCTTGCTTCTCCCCATGGCCCTTCATCTTGCTTCTCCCCATGGCCCTTCATCTTGCTTCTCCCCATGGCCCTTCATCTTGCTTCTCCCCATGGCCCTTCATCTTGCTTCTCCCCATGGCCCTTCATCTTGCTTCTCCCCATGGCCCTTCATCTTGCTTCTCCCCATGGCCCTTCATCTTGCTTCTCCCCATGGCCCTTCATCTTGCTTCTCCCCATGGCCCTTCATCTTGCTTCTCCCCATGGCCCTTCATCTTGCTTCTCCCCATGGCCCTTCATCTTGCTTCTCCCCATGGCCCTTCATCTTGCTTCTCCCCATGGCCCTTCATCTTGCTTCTCCCCATGGCCCTTCATCTTGCTTCTCCCCATGGCCCTTCATCTTGCTTCTCCCCATGGCCCTTCATCTTGCTTCTCCCCATGGCCCTTCATCTTGCTTCTCCCCATGGCCCTTCATCTTGCTTCTCCCCATGGCCCTTCATCTTGCTTCTCCCCATGGCCCTTCATCTTGCTTCTCCCCATGGCCCTTCATCTTGCTTCTCCCCATGGCCCTTCATCTTGCTTCTCCCCATGGCCCTTCATCTTGCTTCTCCCCATGGCCCTTCATCTTGCTTCTCCCCATGGCCCTTCATCTTGCTTCTCCCTTCATCTTGCTTCTCCCCATGGCCCTTCATCTTGCTTCTCCCCATGGCCCTTCATCTTGCTTCTCCCCATGGCCCTTCATCTTGCTTCTCCCCATGGCCCTTCATCTTGCTTCTCCCCATGGCCCTTCATCTTGCTTCTCCCCATGGCCCTTCATCTTGCTTCTCCCCATGGCCCTTCATCTTGCTTCTCCCCATGGCCCTTCATCTTGCTTCTCCCCATGGCCCTTCATCTTGCTTCTCCCCATGGCCCTTCATCTTGCTTCTCCCCATGGCCCTTCATCTTGCTTCTCCCCATGGCCCTTCATCTTGCTTCTCCCCATGGCCCTTCATCTTGCTTCTCCCCATGGCCCTTCATCTTGCTTCTCCCCATGGCCCTTCATCTTGCTTCTCCCCATGGCCCTTCATCTTGCTTCTCCCCATGGCCCTTCATCTTGCTTCTCCCCATGGCCCTTCATCTTGCTTCTCCCCATGGCCCTTCATCTTGCTTCTCCCCATGGCCCTTCATCTTGCTTCTCCCTTCATCTTGCTTCTCCCCATGGCCCTTCATCTTGCTTCTCCCCATGGCCCTTCATCTTGCTTCTCCCCATGGCCCTTCATCTTGCTTCTCCCCATGGCCCTTCATCTTGCTTCTCCCCATGGCCCTTCATCTTGCTTCTCCCCATGGCCCTTCATCTTGCTTCTCCCCATGGCCCTTCATCTTGCTTCTCCCCATGGCCCTTCATCTTGCTTCTCCCCATGGCCCTTCATCTTGCTTCTCCCCATGGCCCTTCATCTTGCTCTCATGGCCCTTCATCTTGCTTCTCCCCATGGCCCTTCATCTTGCTTCTCCCCATGGCCCTTCATCTTGCTTCTCCCCATGGCCCTTCATCTTGCTTCTCCCCATGGCCCTTCATCTTGCTTCTCCCCATGGCCCTTCATCTTGCTTCTCCCCATGGCCCTTCATCTTGCTTCTCCCCATGGCCCTTCATCTTGCTTCTCCCCATGGCCCTTCATCTTGCTTCTCCCCATGGCCCTTCATCTTGCTTCTCCCCATGGCCCTTCATCTTGCTTCTCCCCATGGCCCTTCATCTTGCTTCTCCCCATGGCCCTTCATCTTGCTTCTCCCCATGGCCCTTCATCTTGCTTCTCCCCATGGCCCTTCATCTTGCTTCTCCCCATGGCCCTTCATCTTGCTTCTCCCCATGGCCCTTCATCTTGCTTCTCCCCATGGCCCTTCATCTTGCTTCTCCCCATGGCCCTTCATCTTGCTTCTCCCCATGGCCCTTCATCTTGCTTCTCCCCATGGCCCTTCATCTTGCTTCTCCCCATGGCCCTTCATCTTGCTTCTCCCCATGGCCCTTCATCTTGCTTCTCCCCATGGCCCTTCATCTTGCTTCTCCCCATGGCCCTTCATCTTGCTTCTCCCCATGGCCCTTCATCTTGCTTCTCCCCATGGCCCTTCATCTTGCTTCTCCCCATGGCCCTTCATCTTGCTTCTCCCCATGGCCCTTCATCTTGCTTCTCCCCATGGCCCTTCATCTTGCTTCTCCCCATGGCCCTTCATCTTGCTTCTCCCCATGGCCCTTCATCTTGCTTCTCCCCATGGCCCTTCATCTTGCTTCTCCCCATGGCCCTTCATCTTGCTTCTCCCCATGGCCCTTCATCTTGCTTCTCCCCATGGCCCTTCATCTTGCTTCTCCCCATGGCCCTTCATCTTGCTTCTCCCCATGGCCCTTCATCTTGCTTCTCCCCATGGCCCTTCATCTTGCTTCTCCCCATGGCCCTTCATCTTGCTTCTCCCCATGGCCCTTCATCTTGCTTCTCCCCATGGCCCTTCATCTTGCTTCTCCCCATGGCCCTTCATCTTGCTTCTCCCCATGGCCCTTCATCTTGCTTCTCCCCATGGCCCTTCATCTTGCTTCTCCCCATGGCCCTTCATCTTGCTTCTCCCCATGGCCCTTCATCTTGCTTCTCCCCATGGCCCTTCATCTTGCTTCTCCCCATGGCCCTTCATCTTGCTTCTCCCCATGGCCCTTCATCTTGCTTCTCCCCATGGCCCTTCATCTTGCTTCTCCCCATGGCCCTTCATCTTGCTTCTCCCCATGGCCCTTCATCTTGCTTCTCCCCATGGCCCTTCATCTTGCTTCTCCCCATGGCCCTTCATCTTGCTTCTCCCCATGGCCCTTCATCTTGCTTCTCCCCATGGCCCTTCATCTTGCTTCTCCCCATGGCCCTTCATCTTGCTTCTCCCCACCACTCACTCACCTCACTCATCGTGCCCTCCCCCTCCTGGTGGCTGCACAGTGCAAGAAGCTACTTACTTAGGCGCTTCTTATACATTCTGTCCTCCCCCCCTCTCTCTCTCGTGTGTGGTGGGAGTGCAGTGCAGAGAGAGGACCTGATAGACAAGATTCAGGCGCAAGTGGGCGAGGGGTGCAACATGTACGGCGTGCTCGAGGTGAGCCTCTGGTCTGAGTTTGAGGTGAGGGTTTGGTTTGAGGTGAAGGTTTGAGTTGAAATGAGGCCTTTCCCTTATTCTCTCCCACCTATCCCCATCCGCTCTGTTCCTTATTCTCCTCTCTCGTCTTTCCCCTCCTCCCATCCCTCCTGTCAGTGCAGGTGAGCAAGGTAGCAGGCAACTTGCGCTTTGCCCAATCGATCCTCCCTCTTCTTCTTCCACTATCCCATCTGCCCCTTACTTCTGCGCCCAGGTGAACAAGGTAGCGGGCAATTTCCACTTCGCCCCGGCCAAGGTGTTTTACACGGCGGGCATATCCATCTTTGACCTTGTCATGTTCCACGACACTGTCTTCAATGTGAGTGTTTTAGGGAACACCGTTATCAACCAACTTAGAGACATCTAAGCACCCAAGGTGTTTTACACGGCAGGCATATCCATCTTTGACCTTGTCATGTTCCACGACACTGTCTTCAATGTGAGTGTTTTAGGGAACACCGTTATCAACCAACTTAGAGACATCTAAGCACCCAAGGTGTTTTACACGGCAGGCATATCCATCTTTGACCTTGTCATGTTCCACGACACCGTCTTCAATGTGAGTGCTATATGAATGCGAGTCAAGGCACAGTTATGCTGTCACACAACCATAAACCCGTGCCTCACCTGTTGCCGGAATTCCCTCCCTCCGTTCACGTTCCCTTAGCCCCCAGACCCCCCTTCCCACATGAAGCCATACACCTTCCCGTTTTAGCAGAAATCCCACACTGTCATTTCAAGTCACCCCCATCACCTTGTGTCTGACCTCCCCTCCCCCCCCTTTCCCTCTCCCTTCTCCCAAACCTACCTACGCCACGCACGGCACGTGTACCCCTCTGCCAGATATCCCACACGGTCAACTCCCTCTCATTTGGTGCCAAGTTCCCGGGAGCCGTCAACCCACTGGACAAGTAAGCCATTCTGAATTAGTTGAAACGAGTCAGAACGAGTGAGCCATTCCGGCATGGTGAGCACATAAGCTTTCGAAGTTCGTGTGGATCAGACCAGTGAGGAGTAACGCGCCTTCCGCGCTGTAGCCATGAGGACAGCAATGCGGTCAAGCAGTACCCTTCTCTCTGTTTGACCGCATGGCTGGCCTGCATGTTTTTCATCACGGTTGCCCACTGTCTGGTGTACATGCGGGGCATCTCTCTGTTTGACCGCATGGCTGGCCTGCATGTTTTTCATCACGGTTGCCCACTGTCTGGTGTACATGCGGGGCATCTCTCTGTTTGACCGCATGGCTGGCCTGCATGTTTTTCATCACGGTTGCCCACTGTCTGGTGTACATGCGGGGCATCTCTCTGTTTGACCGCATGGCTGGCGGCCTATCTTCTTCACCACTGTTTTTCATCAAGCTGATGCCCCGCATGTACGACACATCCCTTTCCCATGCACCGTAGGTAGGTACCTCCTCCCACGTCTCCACCCGCCCCTTCCCATGCCTGCTGCCGTGAGCAGGGCACAGTGGGTGCAGGAGAGCGAGTCAGGCATGTATCAGTATTTCATCAAGGTCGTACCCACCATGTACACCGACTCCCACAACCACACCATCGCCTCTAACCAGGTATGCGCATTGGTTCCCGAGTGTGTGTGTGCGCGCGCGCGCGCGCGCGCGCGTGTGTGTGTGTGTGTGTGTGTGTGTGTGTGTGTGTGTGTGTGTGTGTGTTTGTGTGTGTGTGTGTACATACAACTAAGTAATATATAGGACTTGTGCCTCCTATTTGAATTGCATCTATCTCGTCTCTCCCACCTTTCTGCCCTCACCCTCTCTTGTCCTCTTCCCCCCATACCCACCCTCCCGCTTCGCCCCCTCGCTCCTGCAGTTCTCAGCGATGGAGCACTTCCAGGCAGCACCATCGCATGAGCAGCAATCGTCACGTGTATGAAGATTTGTTTTGAGACGTCTCAAAACAAATCTTCATACACTTCCGGGCAGCACCATCGCATGAGCAGCAATGTTTTGAGGCGCTTCAAAAGTCTCCCCTATCCCCCTCTCGCCACACCTTGCTTGCTCCTGCAGTTCTCAGTGACGGAGCATTTCCGGCCAGCACCAGCGCATGACCAGCAATCACTGCCAGGAGTCTTCTTCTTCTACGACCTCTCTCCCATCAAGGCGAGAGCCCCCGTGCTGCTCTGCTCCGCTCTTCCCTGCTCAACCCTTCCCTGCTCTGCTCTGCTCTGCTCTGCTCTGCCCTGCTATGCTGTGCCTTGCTCTGCTCTGCCCTTCCCTGCTGTGCCTTGTGCTGCTCTGCTCTGCTCTACCGTGCCCTGTTGATTGAGTTCTGGAGATTGCTGCTTGGCTGCTTTCTTGCTCCTGCTGACATGTCATTCTGCCTCTGGCATGGCCCCAGCATGCCCCATCATGTCCCAGCATGTCCCATCATGCCCCAGCATGCCCCATCATGCCCCATCATGCCCCATCATGCCCCATCATGCCCCGTCGTGCCCCATCATGCCCCATCATGCCCCAGCATGCCCCATCATGCCCCAGCATGCCCTGCACTCTTTTCATCTCTCTCCGCTCAGCTGCTGCTGCAACATTATGTTATCCTTTTGCTGCACTCTTTCCTGCTGCTCTCTTTCCTGCTGTGCTCTTTCCTGCTGTGCTCTTTCCTGCTGTGCTCTCACCTTGTGCTGTGTGCACGTGTTCTCCTGTCTGCCTTCATGTCTGCCTGCGTGCTGTGCGTTGGACCCAACAGGTGCAATATTCCGAACGCTACACCTCCTTCCTCCACTTTCTCACCAATGTTTGTGCCATTGTGGGAGGTGGGTAGAAGAGCCTTTGTCCGCACTTCGCGTGTTTCAGTTCTTTCGACCACCTCCCTCCCCTCTTTTTTCATTTAAATTGTGATGCATTGCATTAAGCTTCCCCCTTTCCCTCTGCTGTACTTTCTCCTTGCCGTGCAGGCATCTTCACTGTTACAGGCATGGTTGATGCCTTCATCTACCACAGTCAGCGCGCCATAAAAAAGAAAATCGATTTAGGGAAACTCAACTAATTTGTCAACATTTAGTGGTCACTAGCAACAATAGTGCTTGTGTGCCCGTAGGCACAAATCTAGGAAGCTTTCATAGGCAATGCTAGGTTAGATGCTAATCCGTACCAGTTCTGTATACTGTATGACAAAGATGGTGCAAACTTCACGCCTTAGTTATGGAAGATTTGCATTCTAACATAGATCAAACCCAGCTGAATTAGATGTACGAGATTGGTAAGTGCGGATTGCTGGGAAATGTTTGGGGAGTCAGTGGGAAGCCTGTTTTCGGTGAGGAGGCTCCTCTCATTCATTCCGGTCGACAGCACTTGAGCTTCCCGCATGGCGAGTAGCGCTCGCCACGTGTCAGCAAGCGGTGCGGTGCAAGCGGGGCAGGAGCTGGGCAGCCAGTGCAGTCTCCGAGCCGCTATCATGGAGTTTCCGGCATCGCCTATTTTCTCCTCCGCTTCAAATCTTCCGCTCAGGGTTCGAACGCGTTCAGGACTAATTTCGCACACGCCGATTCCTTCAATAGATGTTTGTGGTGGTGTTTCTGCTTCCGTGCATCCGATTCCCACTTCGCGTGATTCGTTCGAGCTGCTTCGCTGTCCCAAGCAGAAGTCTGCTTGTGAGAGTTGCGGTACTGCGTCGTGAGCTGTTGCTGCGAAGCGCGGGTTTGTGAGACTGTGTATGTGAAGAGCAGTGGCCGTTTGACCCCGATAGTCAATGAAGGGCATGATGCAGGAGGTGAAGGAAGGTACCAAGGAGAAGGTGGAGGGGGCCAAGGCGGGGCTCAAGGAGTCCATGGAGTATGCCAAAGCGGACATGAAGCAGACCTTTGAGAAGCTCAAGCACCCCATGAACAGGTGATGAAGCGCAATTCTGCCTGTTTTTGTTGCTCAGATTGTTCGTTGGGAGGTTTTGTTGAATTTTGATGAGCTATGGATTGATATTTGTGCGTTGCAGGGAGAAGAACCTGGAGGCCCGTGACGAGGCGTTCGAGCGGAAGCTGGAAGCAACGCGGGAGAAGCTGGAGAGGAAGGAGATCGCCCACGAGCGACGCCAGGAGGCCACTGAAGGTCTGTATCCGTTTCCTTTTTTTATTCTCGTTCCTGATGGCTTAAAAAAAAAGATTAATGCTCCATTTGGATTTTTCTTCTACCCACGTGCTATTTACTGTACCCTGTTGTCCTTTTTAATGGCTCTTGTTGCAGAGGCGCTTCACAAGGTGCATGCCTCCAAGGCGGAGAAGGAGGCGGAGAAGGGAACGGCCCAGCACGGAGTGACGCCAGGTGCTGCCGGCGCCACTGCTGCTGGCGCTGGTGCCGCTGGCGCTGCTGGTGCTGGCGCTTACGGTGCAAGCCACGAGCGCGAGCGTGGAACTGGCCTGGGGACACATGAGCGTGGCACGGGGACTGGTTACGGGGAGACCGGCACTGGCACTGGCTATGGTGCGAGCCAGGAGCGCGGGACTGGAGGGGAAGGCGTCATGGGTAAGGTTAAGCATGCTGTGACAGGAAAGCCCTCTGGTGAGCGCCATGCTGAGAGGGGCACTGGTTACGGCGAATCTGGCACCGGTTACGGCGAGACTGGCACTGGCTACGGTGCCACTCGTGGTGAGCGTGGGACTGGTACTGAGTATGGTGCGAGCCACGAGCGCGGGACCGGAGGCGAAGGCGTCATGGGGAAGGTGAAGCACGCTGTGACAGGAAAGCCCTCTGCTGAGACTGGCACTGGGTATGGCCAGACTGGCACTGGGTATGGTGGCACTCATGGCGAGCGTGGGACTGGGACTGGTTACGGTGAGACCGGTACTGGGTATGGTGAAACCCAGGGGCATGGCACAGGAGGCATCATGGGCAAAGCCAAGGAAGCTGTGACTGGTGAGCGCCATACTGGCACTGGCACTGGCATGGGTACGGGAACTGGCTATGGTCAGCAGGGTGCTGCTCATGAGAGGGGAGCTGGTACTGGCACGGGTTATGGTGCTGGTGCTGGCACAGGGTATGGTCACGAGAGTGGTGCTGGCACTGGCTATGGGCACGAGGGTGGGACTGCTGGCAGAGGGTATGGTGCGGAGAGTGGTGCAGCAGGGACAGGAGGTGGTGGTGGTGGCATCCTTAGGACGATCAAGAAAGCGTTTACTGGATCAAGCGAGCCCACTGCAGAGCGTCCTGTCGAAACTGGACGCACTGGTGCTGCTGGGCAGGAAGAGTATGATCCGACTGCCCCTGTTTTCATGAGGAAGTAGTTTCTGCTTTTATGGGGAAGTTGCCAGGAGGAAAATTTTGCATCTTTGTATAGGATTCCATATACTGGATGATGTACATTTACAGATTGATTGGCTAGATTCCAAGTACCTCCTGGCTTACTGCGAGTACAGAGAATCTGCTGTGTGACCAATAGCCTTTTGCAAAAACACAGGCTTGGCTCATCATTTTGCCCAACCTGGTTCCAAACCAAACAGTCCAGGTGTCACGAATACTGCCACCGCAGGCGGCGCAAAGGACACGCGGACCAGTAACAACACACCCGGAGGTCAGCGCTGGAGGTTTGGGATCGCTGCCTGTTCATATGCTTCTACCTGAACCCCCACCGCTATCCACAATTCCATGCCGGGGCATTGATCACTGACTTTTGCGAGACTGGTCTGGTCTGGTCTGGTCTGTTTGATGTGTGATCTCCAGTCTCCGCTAATTAGACACTAATTTTTAGGAAGAACTCCTTGGTCAGTTCCAGACATTTGAGGACTCGAGAGGCCTTGTGGGTGATTATTCGCCGGTTTTAGTGGAAACTACTATATAAAAGTTCACCTACTTGGCTTTTACTCCGTCAAATAGTCACCTCATTAGACCACACAAATGGGATCTCTGGATCTTTCCGGCGGTGCTGCCTGGTAAGAATATTCGACAGTGGCCGACACTCTAAATTGATGGAGCTAAATAGCAGACACATCGCATGAAAATTAATTAAGTCTACAATGCCGGACATGCGTGGGTTTTGGCGTTTGTGATTCGTGCAGCATTGAAAGGATGCGGTTGTTTTTGTACAAAGTTGGTCCTAATTTTGCGAGTTTTTAACTCTTCATTTGTTTCTTCTTTCATACTTCGTTTTCCCTTCTTTCACTGCTTCCCTCGTCTGCTCTTTTCTGTTCATTTCGCAGGATGAGCCGTGTGGTAAGCCCCGATAAAATCTCCGCATGGCCATTGCCCCAATTGCTTGCCTGATTTATTTCTCTAGTTTACCCTTACATATGACTGTGCTTCTCCGGTGCTTAAAACCATTTTACCTGTTGCTGGCATTGACCATCCTTTGTTTATGAAGGTTTTTGTATCAAGCTCTTCCTGTCTCGTACTCTCATTCTTCCGCCAATGACAGAAGTCCTTTCACCTACCTTGGTTTCAGGCCAGCTTATCCATTGGCTCCCGAGTGGCGGGCTTCGCGGGTCTATGCGTCGCCTCCAATCAGGACGAGCAGGGCGGTAAGCGCCGGCGACGTGGCGCACGCCGATTCGCAGGACTGGTGCTGGTGTCGTCAGCCGCCGCTACGGCCACACCCGCTACAGCCACCCCTGCTACAGCTGCCACAGGCGAGAAGAAGAGCTGCTGTGGAGGGAAGAAGGCGAAGGTCGAGGAGAAGAAGAAGAGCTGGCCCCAGATTATTCTCGGTAAACTCCTCCGCACTTAATATTGCACTTTTGAGTCGACTCGAAAGTCATTTCGAAGGTCGAGGAGAAGAAGAAGAGCTGACCCCAAGATCATTCTAGGTAAACTCCTCCGCACTTTGCTTGACAGGTAGTGAATAGCATTGAGTCTACGGGTGTTTTGAGTTGGATCAATAGAGTCTCTCTCGTGGGTGTTGAGTCACCTCAAGGCCACGTTTATCCCATTCTCCTTCTCGGCATCCTTCCTGACACTCTTCCCCGTGCCCTTCCCTTCCCTTCCCCGTGCCCTTCCCTTCCCTTCCCCGTGCCCTTCCCTTCCCTTCCCCGTGTCCTTCCCTTCTCCTCTCTTCCCTAACAGAGGGAGCGGTGGCAGGAGGAGCAGCGGGTGTGACGGTCGAGACGGCCTTGTACCCCATCGACACCATCAAGACTCGGCTGCAGGTATGCAAACCAAGCCGAACCGAAAAGAAAGGAATGGAACCGAACCGAACTGAGAGAATTGTGTTATGAGGGGTGTGCATTGTGGTAGCTTCGAGTGTTGGGGAGTGCCTTGTATGTACCTACGCCACTAACGCCATTATGATCGGACTACAGAAATGAAGCACCACTGAATTATGAAAAAAAAAACTGGAGTACGGCGCCTCCCTTAGCATGCATTGCTGTGTTTTCTGTCAAGGGCTGCATTTTAACCTGCATCTACCTTGTAACCCGCACAGCGCCTTTGCCTCACGCCCCCCTTGCCCCGCCATTCCTCCACTTGCCTCACACCCACAGCTAGATGGCCAGGTCGCCAGCCTGGGGGACCATTTGGCCAGGTGGGTGGGTGGGTGGGTGGGCGGCACGGAAGGCGGTTTCAACTTGCCCTCAACGCACACCTTCTCATCAAGGGGCGGTATCTTTTGTTCTCGCTCATTTGCTCTCCGTGGTTGTGTCCTGTGCTTGCCCTTTCCACTTGCCAATCATCCCCAGGTGGCCACCTCAGGGGGCGGCATCAACTTCAAGGGGCTCTACTCGGGCCTCTCTGGCAACCTCATTGGCGTGCTGCCGTGAGCTGCCCCTCCGCCCACCCTCGCCTCGTTTCTCTCCTGCTCATCGTCCTCCTCCTGCTGCTGCTGCTGCTGCTGCTGCTCCTCCTCCTCCTCCTCCTCCTCCTCCTCCTCCTCCTCCTCCTCCTCCTCCTCCTCCTCCTCCTCCTCCTCCTCCTCCTCCTCCTCTCCTCCTCTTCCTCCTCCTCCTCCTCCTCCTCCTCTTCCTCCTCCTCCTCCTCCTCCTCCTCCTCTTCCTCCTCCTCCTCTTCTTCTTCCTCCTCCTCCTCCTCCTCCTCCTCTTCCTCCTCTTCCTCCTCTTCCTCCTCTTCCTCTTCCTCTACATTGAAAGCGAGAGTAGCAAAAGCAAATAGCACTCGAAACACGTCTGTCTCATAACGTTTCCTTCACTGATGGCTGTGTCAGGCATAATCATTCCCCATGATCCACCACCCATGGTCCACACATCAGCCACGAGATATATCATCCATGAGCCACATCACATCACACACGTGCCACATCAGCCAGCATGCTTCCTGTTCAGTCAGCAACCAATTTGTGCACCTTGGCTTGTCTATTCCGCCTCCCTCCCGTTCGTCCCCCCACAGGGCGTCAGCCATATTCATTGGCGTGTACGAGCCCGTCAAGGCGTTCCTTCTGAACACCCTTCCTGAGAACATTAGCGTTGCGGCTCACCTGGTGTGTGTTCGCCCGGCCTCTTCATTCGTCCTTTTTCATCCCCGCCTCTCGTGCGTTTTTCCACGTGTACATGCATGTATATATGCACACATTAAAAATCATTCCACATCGTTGCATCAACTCCCCTGTGCGTTCTTCCTGGCCCCTTTCCCCTCTTATCTAGGCGGCAGGAGCAGCAGGAGGCACAGCAGCCTCTCTCGTTCGAGTGCCCACAGAGGTATGCCATGATGATGTGCGCCTGAGTCCTGACATTGTCGGTCCATGTCTACATGATGCCCCATGTACATGATGATGCACATAGAGAGCAGTTTCCCATAGCTGTCCGCTTGTCACTGCACATCAACCAAAGCTCCAAAGCCTTCTTTCTGCTATGATGCCCTCTTCTTCTTTCCAACCACAACCAGGTGGTGAAGCAGCGCATGCAGACGGGGCAGTTCCCCACAGCGGTCAACGCTGTCAAGACCATTCTCTCCAAGGAGGGAGTCAGGGGCCTCTATGCGGTACGTTCCCCTATGCCGTGTGTTTTCCTCTTTCTATGCTGTATTTTGGCAGTGCTGTGTCTCTTGGATGCACTATCTGGTACGGGCCTGCATAAATGCCTGTCTGCACGATTTGGAACTTGAATATTAGCATTCATGATGTCGCAGGGATATGGCTCCTTCCTCCTGCGAGACCTACCATTTGATGCCATCCAATTCGCCATCTATGAGCAGCTTAAGATCCAGCTCAAGAAAACGGTGAGCCTCATCCCCATCCCATTAGCTTCTAGATTCATGCCACAAAGCTGGGTTGCTTGCAACTGCAGATACCGTACACAATTATATTCTCAGTTGATGGACTAGTTGCCCTTCGTTATAGCGTCTGTGATCTCTGTTGATCTGCTAGCCAGTTTCTGTATGTGTGCATTTGGTCTTAATTGAGACAGCATTTGATGACTTTCCACATGAATTGTATGGAATATGTATGAATTTGTCTGTGCATCAATTTTAGCTGAAGCGGGATTTGAAGGATCCAGAGATGGCAGTGGTGGGAGCGGTCTCAGGTGCCATTACAGGCGCTGTCACCACCCCCCTTGATGTCATCAAGACTCGGCTCATGACTCAGGTATGGTCCTCTTGTGTTTGAATGTTTTCCCTGTTAGTACAATGTACGAGAAGATGCTCTGAGCAACAGCAAATAACATGAACATATGCCTTACTGTGGCAAGTTCTCCACCTTCCATCTCCTGATTAGTCCCCGCTCCCCTCAACATTCAATCAATGCAGGGGACATCTGGGCAATACAAGGGCATCATTGACTGCATTCAGAAAACAGCAGCGCAGGATGGAGTAGGCGCTCTTTTCAAGGTGAGTATGAAGGAGTAAGAAGGCACATTTGTCATGTTGCACTAGAACCACTCGCCACTCATCCCATGTTGCATTGCACGTTGCATTATGTAATTGCACTACCATACTGATCCATGCATAAGCACTGAACAGTATCTACCCTTCTGTGCGCCTTCAATTCTAACCTCATTGCCAATCTGCAGGGCGTTGGACCTCGAGTCATGTGGATCGGTATTGGAGGGTCAATCTTCTTTGGAGTTCTTGAGAAGACAAAGCAGCTTATGCACCAGGCATATCACACACCACCGCCATCAGAGGCTTATTACTGACAATTTGCAGCTTGAACATAGTATGACGGGCTTTTGTTGTTCACAAAAAGTCACAAGTTTTGGATTCTATGTATGGCCCAGGTACCAGATATGTACCTAAGTTCTATTGAGACAACCCATCACAAATTGCAGCCCCTCATAGTATATAGATGACAAGTTCCCAACCTTGTGTGCAACATTCACCACAAGTGTAAGGAATTTTCCTAATTCCTTACTGGGGCACTCCATACGCGTACAATTCCAACTTTTCGGTCTTCAGGCTCGGTCCGTCGACCTCGCCTTCCGAACGACCCCCACGTCGCCTTCGGGTTTCCCAACCTCCAACCTGCACCCAACCTTCGCGCGACTCCGCGAACTCGGCCTGGCTAGCTTCGCTATATTATGACTAGGCCTCGTTGTTTGCGCAGTGCTTGGAATCACTTCCGCATTATTGAGTTCTGCGCACTCTCTTCTTTCACAACTCATAACACTTGGTATCAGAGCTACTTTCCTAGGTTACCCACCACTTTCCGGGGTAGTTTTAGTGCAGGGGTGCGATAGACTTGGTGGGCTGCAAAGCGGTCGGCTGAGAGATAGATACGATTATCTCGCTCCGACTAATAGCGTTTGCGCCTTCATCGAAGTCATAAAAATCGCTGTTAACCCGCTGCCCGCTAGGATGAGTATCCGAAACATGACGCAGGCGGAGTTTGACGCCTTCGTGCAGGATTTTCGGGCGATGCAGGCCAACATGCTGTCCATGAACGGCGAGTTGGAGCGCCTGAGGGTGGAAAACGCCGAGCTACGCCAGACGCGGGGTGAAACGCGTCAGGAGCCGCCCGTCATGGATGAAGCAAGTAGCAGCTCCGCACCTAATGACGAGGTCCTTAGCGAGCTACAGGACTCGCTGGACGCTGAAGATGAGTGGACGGCACGCATGCAACAAGCACCAGGGACGCAACAACAGGCACAAGCGACGCCGAGGCAACAGTCGCAGACGACGCCACGACAGGCACCAGCGACTTTCAGAATCACTAGGCAAGAATGATGAACTAGCAGAAGTTTTGGGTACAAATATGAAACCCTAGTTGGGGTTGTACCCCATATTGGCTACCCCACTACAGCCTACAAGCATACTACAGTTTAACACACCCCCATAGGCAAAGTGGGGGAGAACAAAGGGTCACAAGACCAGTCCAGCAAAGCAAAGCAACGCCCAGGGTGGATCACAACGTCACCACACTCCGAGCACAAGTAAAGGCCACAAGGCCAGTTCACATGCAGTGCTAGATATAGTACAAGACAAGCAACACAGTGATCAAAACCTAGCAAGCAAGCAACAAGATATATATAAAGTACAGTACAAAGAATGTCAAGCAGTGAGCAAGTGAGGAAACGTGGACACAAGGCCTAAAGAAGTACAGTGCCGCTGATGATCACTAGGCGGGAGCGCCTTGGTGAAGATATCAGCAGTGTTGGCCTTCGAGTCCACGTACACAAGCCGAAGCTGACCGCGCTGCTGAAGCTCTCGAGCAAGAAAGTAGCGAAGAGCAATGTGCTTCGTCCTGTGCTCCAGTCTGTGCTCCTGACACAAGGCAAGAGCCGCCTTGTTGTCACCGTACAGAACTGGAGGAGAACTAGGCCGCTCTCCCAAGTCAGTCAGCAGGTAGGTGAGCCAGCGTAACTTCTGTGCAGCCATGGCTGTGGCGTAGATCTCAGCCTCACAACTAGAGCCGAGAACAGAGGAAGAGCGGGTGGACCGCCACGAGACAGAACCTGAGCCAAGGCTGAAGGTGTAACCCTGTGACGACCGCTGCGTAGCCAGGTCGTCCACCCAAGAGGCGTCCGAGTGACCAGTGAGGACAACTCTGTCGCGTCCTCCAAGCACCAGCCCCATGCCTGATGTACTGCACAGGTAACGCAGCACCCTCTTAGCAGCCTCCCAGTGCTCTCGCCTGTGTCTCCCAGGCGCAACGTAACGAGCAAGGATGCTAAGAGGGTACGCGAGGTCAGGTCGCGTGCAAGTCATCAGGTACATGAGGCAGCCTACAAGCTCTGGGTACGGGCCACTCGGCTCTACGGACTCGTCCGAAGGTGGAGCTGAGAGCGAGTGGCTGGTAGCCAGAGGTGTGGCCTGTGGTGAGGAGAACTGGAAGCCGAAGCGCTGAAGGACCTGCTGCACCATGTGTGACTGAGTCAGGGTGATGGTGCGGCGAGCTCTGTCCCGAGTGATCTGCAAGCCAAGGTAGCTACGCAGTTCACCCAGGTCAGTGCAGGTGTGTCTCTTCTGCAGCTCCGACTTCACACGAGCGAGTGCCTCAGTGTCAGCAGTAGCAAAGACCAAGTCGTCGACGTACACGAGAATGTAGAACGGCGGCAGCGACGTGTCTGTGCGCAGAAACAGCGACGGGTCAGCAGTAGACGGCGCGAACCCAAGAGCCGCAAGAGTAGTCCTCAGTGTGTCGTGCCACTCACGTGGCGCCTGGCGGAGACCGTAGACTGGCCGGCGGAGACTCCACTGGGTACCAGGGGGAAACGACCCAGTAAAGCCAGGTGGGCGGCGCAGCCAGATCTCCTCGTGCAGGCTGCCCTGCAGGAAGGCTGTGCTGAAGTCAAGAGAGTGAAGCTCGTAGTCACGCTGAGCGGCAACGTGCAGCAGAACCCGAAGAGTGGTCATCTTCGGGGTGGGGGAGAAGGTCTGGAAGAAGTCGACCCCCTGACGCTGACTGAAGCCTCTAGCAACGTAACGAGCCTTGAAGACAGGCGGAGAACCTGGCGGCCGCTTCACCCTGAAAATCCACATGCCATCGACGATGTTCGCCCCAGGAGGGGGAACCTCGTCGACGTAGGTGCCTGTGGACTTCCAGGATGCCATCTCTGCGTCCATGGCTGTCTGCCACTGAGAGGAGTAGGGACCCGAGATCGCCTCTGCGTAAGTGCGCGGAGTGGGGATGTCTAGTGCATCCGGGTCTCCCTCAGGGGCAAGCAACCAGGCCACGAGATGAGGTACAGCAGCCGCAAGAGAGTCAAAGTCCTCCTGCCTGTCCTCAAGGACGTCCGTGCCAAGAGCACACTCACCCCCGACGGACGGAGGACAGACAGACGCAGACTCAGACTCAGCAACAAGGCTAGCAGTGTAGTCTAGACGACAGGCAGCAGCAAAGTCAACCAACTCAGCGACCAGAGCAGACGCAGCCGAGGACTCAAAGGTAGGGTCAGTGACAACAGTAGCGAGGAGACGCGTGACTGTAGGGTGCTCAGCGCGATACCGGTCAGACTCAGGGTCCGGAACGGCAGGCAAAGAGGACGCAGGAGGAGACGGTAGAGGGACACGCCGAGGAGCAGTAGAGGGACGCAGAGTCATGTAGTGAGTGCCTGGGACAGGAGGAGGACGCTCACGACGGACACGACTACCAGTGCGAGCAGTGCGAACAGGCGACGCAGGACGAGACTCAGGCTCACGACGCTCTGTAAGACCTCCTGTGGGACCAGCGTAAGGAGAGGGAGCAGGGAGAGGCGAGGCAGGCGGTAACTGTGACTGCGGCTGGACAGGCGGAGGACACTCGACGGAGGGAGGAGGACTAGGAGGAGGAGCCTGCCCAAGAACCTGCTGAAGGAGCGGTACGAAGTACGGTCGCGGCCGCGCAGCGTCTCCAGAAGCAGAAGGGACTCCAGCGGCCGGGTCCTCAGCACCAGTAGGAGCTCCAGCGTCCGGGTCCACAGCACCAGCAGCAGCTCCACCGCTCGGGTCCCCAGCTCCAGCAGCAGCTCCACCGTCCGACTCCTCAGCACCAGCAGCAGCTCCACCAGGTGGGTCCGCAGCACCAGCAGCAGCGCCACCCCCAGAGTCGGCAGCTCCAACTCCGCTAGCACCGCCAGCGCCAGAGTCCCCAGCTCCAGCAGCTCCAGTCGCAGTGCTCCCAGAACAGCCAGTCCCGGCAGCTCCAGTACCCCCAGTACGAGCACCCCCAGGACGAGTAGCTCCAGCACCCCAAACTCCAGCCGAGCCACTAGGACGGCGAAAGCGTCGGACGTACCAGTCACGAAGCTGCTGCGGTGTGAGAGACTGCTCAACACCCCGAACCGGAGCACCCCCAGACACAGTAACCCGAGGCTCCGTAGGCTCAGTAGCAGCACCCCCAGGCTCAGTACCCGCAGGCTCAGTACCCGCAGGCTCAGCACCCCCAGTCGCAGCACCCCCAGGCTCAGCACCCCCAGGCCTCGCACCCGCAGGCTCAGCACCCCTAGGCGCAGCACCCCCAGGCTCCGTACTCTCAGGCACCGTACCCTCAGCTCCAGCACCCTCAGTCCCAGCACCTGCAGCCCCAGCACCCCCAGGCCCAGCACCCCCAGGCTCAGCACCCCCAGGCTCAGCACTCCCAGCAGCACCACCCGCAGCAGCACCTGAGTCACCTGTGACCTCGACAGGCTCAGCGACGGGAGGAGGGTCTACCTGAGAGACACCTGAAGGAGCAGGACCCTGAGGGGGAAGGGGGTCTACCGGAGGGGGACCAGGAGCAAGGAAAAGTGGCGGGGGAGGGAGGGGGGCAGTGCGGTAGGGGAAGAGACGGTAAAAGGGGACCGACTCGTCAAAGGTGACATCCTGAGAGGCGAAGACCCGGCGCGAGGTGGGGTGGTAAAACTGCCAGCCAGGCGCGTCAGGGACAAAGCCAAGGAAGACACAGGGAAGCGTGCGGGAGGAGAGCTTGTCCGCGGACGTATCGCGGACAAGGGCACGAGCACCCCACACCCGGAAGCGCGACGCATCGCCAACCTCCCCCGTCCAACGCAGTGTGGGCGAGGTCTCCGGCAAGGAGACACGGGGCCAGAGGTTGAGCTGATGCGCGGCGTACCGGACAGCAAACGGCCACAGAAAATGGGGAGCCGCCGCGTGGACCAAGGAGGTACGAGCGACCTCCATGACCAGGCCAATGCGACGCTCAGCAACCCCATTCTGCTGTGGGGAGTCCGGAAGCGTGAAGGTCTGCTCGATGCCCTCCGCCTGACAGAAGGTCCTCAAGAGGTCGGAGGAAAACTCACCACCTCTGTCAGAGTGCAGACGCAGGACAGGAAGATCCGTCCGGAAACGGCGGCGGAGCTGGAGACGAACCGTGCGGATCCAAGGGATCAGAACAGCAGGGACCTCACCCTTGGTGCGCAAGGGGAAGACCGTGGTGTAACGCGAGTAGTCGTCGACAACCAGCAAAAAATACCGCTCACCGCCCTGACCACGAACGCGGGCTGGGCCCCACACGTCCAGGTGGAGGGTCTCCAGAGGAGCCTCTGTCGGGGGGAACGAGGAGGAGTGAGGAGCGGCGCGCTGCCGCCCCTCGACGCAAGGAAGGCAAGGCGGCGCAGGCGAGGCAGGGAGGGGAGGGAGGGACCTGGGAAGACCGGACACAAGGAGGCGACGGTGCATGCCACGAAGGCGTGGCAAGGAGGGGTGACCCAGGCGGTGGTGCCAGAGAAGAGTCTGGTGTGACAGGGAACGACACTCACAGGCGTGGGCCACCAGACCTGACGCGGACACCTGACCGACAGCAGCGACCTGAGGAGACGCAGTGGTCAGTGTGTAGAGACTCGACCCCGGCCGACGAGTAAACGTAGCCAGGTGACGGCCGGTCCTGGAGCACGTGCAGATCGCCACACGCTGTCCGCCAGGGGTAAAGGTGTCAACCCACTGATCCTGGAGGACAGCGTTGCTCACCAGGTTCGTCGAGAACGAGGGGAGGTGGAAACCCGACAACGAGCCAGACGGAACCGCCGGACAAGGGAGGACAGTGGTAGACTGGGCAAGGACTGGGCCCCCAGAGGGGTCAGCCAAGGAGACTGGGACCGGTGCAGGAAGCGGTGTGAGCTCAGTACTGTCACGAAAGAAGCAACGGGAAGCACCTGAGTCAAGGGTGAAGGTGTGACAGGCCTCAGCCGGTGCGGTACCTGAGAGAGCAGTCTCTGTGGGTGCTGTACCTGAGAGAGCAGACTCGAAACCAGCCGGGACAGCACTGGAGGGAGCAAGTACAGGGGGCACCATACCAGAGAGAGCAGACTCACTAGTACCCAGGGCAGCGGGCTCTATACCTGGGTCAGGCGGCACACACAAGTAACAGTCTCCCTCGGCACTAACAGTCAATGCATACATGGCAGCAATAATAGCATCATAGTCAAGAGCAAAGACATCAACACCAGCCCTCATGAGCTCAGCCCAGCGGGGGCGCTCAACATCCGCACCCATCTCCTCACGCCAAGCGTCGTCAAGGCGGGAGAAGCAGCGGTACGGGGTGTGGAACCTCCCACACGTCTGTCCCTTGCGGTCACCTGTGCGAATGACATAAGAACAGCGGGCACTGGCCCCCGACGTCCCACGCTGAGCAAGCCACTCACGAAGCTGCTGGGTCGTCTGGGGACGCTGCTGCTGCTGGGAGCTCTGGCCAGAGCCAGTGCCTCCACTCCGACCTCCGCCGCCACCACTACCACCGCTCCGACCGCCACCGCCACCACCGCCACCACCGCCACCGCCGCCACCGCCGCCGCCGCCACTACTGCCACTGCTCCCTCCGCCGCCCCCGTCTCCACCACCGACCCCACTCCCACCAGCGCTCCCGCCACCGCTCCCTCCAGCACCGCCTCCCCCCCCACCTCCCCCACCTCCTCCCCCACCAGCGCCACCACCACCACTTTTGCCCCCCTTGCCCTTGCCGGTGCGGCGCCTCCCACCAGGAGTAGAAGCAGCGCCAACAGACTCAGCACCAAGGAAGTCAACAGCAGCAGCAGCAGCGTAGGAGGGAGCGAGGGGAGAGGGAGAACACCCCTCAAAGATGGGGGTGCGAGGAGCGCCACGAGCAGCACCGACAGCCACAATGCTCTTTTCGGCCGCGAGCAGGTGCTCCTCTAGGAGGGCGACTGTGAGCTCAGTGGGACAGCGAGCAAGGAAGTGGTCTCGAACTGAGCGGAGGGTGTCAGGGAGACGGGTGACTATGAAGTGGAGTGTCCAGTACAGTGGAGGGGGGTTCTTAGCGCAGAACTCGGTGGGAAGGGCGGCACGCAGGCGAGCATCACTAGTGCGAAGGTGGGTGATAAGATCGGCGACTGTAGTAAAGGTGGACAGATCGGGGAACAGGTACGGCAGCATGAGGCGGCTAAGCTCGGCTGTGGCAGGCGAGGAGTAGCGAGCGACGACAGCGTCGTACAGGGCCTTAGCGGATTTGCAGTCGCCAAAATGCTCTAGCTCAGCTAACGGCAGGTGACTGCGAATGGCTAGGCGAGCAGCTGCGTCACGAGTCTGCCAGTGGGAACGAACACTAAGCTCAGCTGTGGCAGGAGGGGCAGGCGCAGCACCAGACGCGTAGTCATAGAGCGACACATGCTCCTTGCTATCGCTCAGGAGAAACAGCTGCAGGTCATCTAGCCAAGCGGTGAAACGCACAGGGCGGCCCTCAGCATCGAACGACAGCACGCGAATGGAAGCCATAGCGACAGTGTGACAGAGTAACGCAAGCTGCCGCAGCAGGGGAAGACGACTGTGCACGGATAGAGAGCAGCGGGCGAGGCTGGCGCTACGGGCAGGTGGCGCTGCAAGCGGTCAGTGCGACGGGAGGGCGACGCTGCGAGCGGGCAGCGCGGCGGACGGGCCGGGAAGCGGGCAGCGCGGCGGGCAGGCGGCGCTGCAAGCGGGCAGCACAGTGGACGGGCGACGCTGCGAGGCGGGCGGGCCGCAAAGCGGGCAGCGGGCGGGCGGGCGGGCTGCGAAGCGGGCAGCGGGTCGAGCGGGCCGCGAAGTGGGCAGCGAGCGGGCGGGCGGGCTGCGAAGTGGGCGGGCCGCGAAGCGGGCAGCGGGGCGAGCGGGCTGCGAGGCGGGCGGGCCGCGAAGCGAGCAGCGAGCGGGCGGGCGGGCTGCGAAGTGGCGGGCCGCGAAGCGGGCAGCGAGCGAGCGGGCTGCGAAGCGGGCGGGCCGCGAAGCGGGCAGCGAGCGGGCGGGCTGCGAAGCGGGCGGGCCGCGAAGCGGGCAGCGAGCGGGCGGGCGGGCTGCGTAGCGAGCGGGCCGCGAAGCGGGCAGCGAGCGGGCGGGCGGGCTGCGAGCGGGCGGCTCGGCGAGGGGCGCGCGAGGGCGCTAGTGAGGGGCGCGCGAGGGCGCTAGTGAGGGGCGCGCGAGGGCGCTAGCAAGGGGCGCGCGAGGGCGCTAGCAAAGGGGCGCGCGAGGGCGCTAACGAAGGGGCGCGCGAGGGCGCTGACGTGAGTGCGCGCGAGGGCGCTAACGAGGGTGCGCGCGAGGGCGCTAACGAGGGCGCACGAGGGCGCTACGAGGCTAGGGAACGGGGTAGCGTGGTAACCGCATGCGAGCGGTGGTGGGCCCTAAAAAAAAAACGATCGGTAGGTCCTAGGGACCTCCTGCTCTGAATACCATTTCAGAATCACTAGGCAAGAATGATGAACTAGCAGAAGTTTTGGGTACAAATATGAAACCTTAGTTGGGGTTGTACCCCATATTGGCTACCCCACTACAGCCTACAAGCATACTACAGTTTAACAGCGACAACTCCGGCGACGGCTTCGGTGGCGCCCCCGATGCATGCAGCAGCAACAGTCTCAACAACTGAATAAAACCGACAAACCCGCCCCCGTTCAACCCCAGCGACAAAACCATTACGGTGTCTGCATGGCTGTTCGGAGTGGAGGTGTTTTTTAATGCTGCGCAAATTGCTGACGATGCTACTCGCATTAATTTTGCAGTGTCACTGTTACGAGGACCGGCGCTGGAATGGTGGAGGCGGACTCTTCAGACAGAGGGGACTCCGGCAGGGCTGTCACGTGCGAACGACGGGACCTGGACAACTGTCACGCAAGGAGCAACTTCAATCTTCGGAGTGGCCACGATACGCACATGGACGGAGTGGGGCGCCGCGCTGCGGACCAGATTCGAGCATGTATCCGCCTCGGATTCTGCCCGCATGAAGCTGCGTACCTGGAAGCAGGTGGCGTCGGTCCAAGATTACACGGCAACATTCTGCAATTTGGCTGACCAGGTGGACGACATGAGCGATGCGGAGCGACTCGACCGTTACGTCGCAGGCCTCAAGTACGAAGTACAGTACGAGGTGCGACGGGCGAGGCCACGCGATTTCCTCGATGCCGTCCAGGTGGCCGAATCTACGGATGCGCTGATGCAATGGGCGAGAATGAGTTCCCGGGAGGGCACTCAATTTCGTGGACCGCCGCGCCAGCCCACAATCAACGGTGTGGAGGCGCCTAGACGTGGACCTAACACGTGCTTCAACTGCCACCAACCGGGCCACTGGAGGAAGGACTGCCCGCAGCTGAAACAGGGAAACAGGAACGACGGAGAGGGGTCGGGAAAAGAGACGAGTCAGTAGCAGTCGGGCCACCTACTGACGAGACCCCGTCGCCCGGCAATCAACATCCACACCGAGTAGTGGTACCGATACGGGCTATCGACCGCAACCGGACGAATAAGGTGGATGAACACGTGGATCACCCTGTGCTGGTCGTGGGGAGGGTTAACGGGTATAAAATAAAACTATTTGTTGACGGGGGGGCGAGCCATAGCCTCGTCAACCTGGCAACGGCCAAAAAAATTGGAGTCAAGCTGGACAGGTGTCTGCCCGAGATTGACGCGCGACTGGTGGACGGGACACCGCTGGCGATCAAGGACGAGGTCCGACAAATTCGGATGAAGTGTGGCGACGATTTCGGGTTTTCAATGCGAATGCTGGCGACAACACTGGACGGTTGCGATGTGCTGCTGGGACGAGATTGGCTACAGCGATTCAATCCAACGATCGATTGGACGACGGGAGCGATCACGGTGCTGAGCAACAAGGGGCGCGTGACACTTCCGAAATGGGCGGAGCCGGAGCCGATGACAACACGTGTCAACGCGATCACGCTGAAGAGGGCGATAAAACGGGGAGCGCAAGGCTACGCCGTACAGCTGTACGAGGTGGTGGCGTCCGAGAAAATCGCCGACATTGACACGCTCTGCGCTGCTGTACCCGACGACGTGGCGAGCATAATTCGGAGGTATCCCGAAATTTTCGCGGATGACCTGCCTGACGGGCTGCCACCTCAGCGTCCGGAGGACCACAGGATCGAGCTGGAGCCAGGCGCAAAACCAACTGTTCGGTCACAGTGGCGGCTCAGCCAACCGGAGCTCGACGAGTTGCGGAAACAGCTGGATTATCTGCTTTCGAAGGGTTTTATCCGGCCGAGCACGTCACCATACGCCGCCCCGATACTGTTCACACCGAAGAAAGACGGAGGCCTGCGCATGTGCATCGACTATCGAGCGCTGAATCGGATCACCATCAAGTCGCGTTACCCGATTCCGCGAGCGGACGACCTGCTGGATCAACTTCGCGGGGCACAGTTCTTCTCGAAAATCGATTTGCGAGGTGGCTACCATCAGATTCGCGTGTTCACCGACGACTGCCCGAAGACCGCATTTCGAACCCGCTACGGCAGTTACGAGTATACAGTAATGCCATTAGGGCTGACGAACGCACCCTCGACCTTCCAGCTTACCATGAATGGGGTGTTTCGAGACATGCTGGACAAGAAGGTGATAGTTTACCTGGACGACATCCTGGTGTACAGCAAGACTCGGGAGCAACATTTACAGGATTTGGAAGAAGTGTTCTGGCGCTTGCAGCAGAACCGACTGATTACTAAGGGCTCTAAGTGCGAGTTCTTACAGCCGGAGCTGGAGTTCCTGGGGCACGTGGTTTCCTGGGAGGGTATTAAAATTGACCCTCGAAAAGTAAAAGCGATTTCGGAGTGGAAGCCGCCCACGAACATCACGGAGTTGCAGAGTTTCCTCGGCTTCGTTAACTACGTCCGCCGCTTTGTACCGAATATGGCGGAGGTAACCAGACCGTTAACCGATCTTCTGCATAAGAGCGTCCAGTTTTTGTGGAGGGAGAGAGAGCAGCTGGCCTTCGACGAGCTGAAGCAAATTTTGAGTTCACCCCCGGTACTTCGCCTGGCAGATCCATCTCGACCGTTCGAAGTCGTGACGGACGCCAGCGATTTCGCCGTCGGCGCTGTGCTACTACAAAACTTCGGCAACGGACTGCAACCCATCGCGTACGAGTCAAGAAAAATGCAGCCGCCCGAGCGCAACTACCCTGTACACGACAAAGAAATGCTCGCCATCGTGCATGCATTTCGTACCTGGCGCTGTTACCTCACGGGAGCTGACGTCACCATTCGAACCGACCACAAGTCATTACAATACATGCGCAGCCAGCCACAGCTCAACCCACGACAAATCCGGTGGCTCGATTACCTCGAATCAAATTTCAACTACACCATCACGTACAAAAAGGGCGCCAACAACATCGCCGACGCCCTGACACGACCATCGATGCAGACCGCAGCAGTACTAATCGCCCACTCTAACCCTTTATTAGCAGGATTATTCAAGCACGGCTACAGGATCGACAGGTTCTTCATGTCAAACTATGCATATTGTGTTTGTGTAGGCTGCTAGTGGGGTAGCCCATATGGGGTACAACCCAATGTTAGGGTTAGCTTATGTACCCAACTCTTGATCAATGCATTCATTCTTGTCTCTAGATTCTAACATGGTTTCAGAGCAGTAGGTCCGTAGGACCGTTTTTTTTTCGGGCCCACCTACCGCTACCCCACGCCTGTGCCTGTGCCTGTGCCTGTGACGTGCTGCGCTGCGCGCGCCGTCTGCCTGTAGCCTACTGCCTGCTGCCTACTGTGTTGTCTGCTGCTGCTACCGCGCAGACCTAAGTCACGCACGCTGCCCGCTGCTGCCTCAAGCGTCGCCCTCGCTGCTCGCGCCGCTCTGCTGCCCCTCACACGCCGTCAGCGCAGCGCACAGCCCCCAGCGAGCCGCGTGCAGCCCCGTCGAACCGCGTGCAGCCCCGTCGAGCCGCGCGCAGCCCGGATCTGCCGCGCGCAGCCCCCGCCGAGCCGCGCGCAGCCCCGTCGAGCCGCGCGCAGCCCCGTCGAGCCGCGCGCGGCCCGTTTTCTGCTGCGCGCAGCCCCGTCGAGCCTCGCGCAGCACGTTTTCTGCTGCGCGCGGCCCCGCCGAGCCGCGCGCAGCCCGCTGCTGCCGCGCGCGAACCCCCCTGAGCCGCGCGCCGCCCCTGCCGAGCCGCGCGCGGCCTGCTGCTGCTGCGCGCAGTCCCTGCCGAGCCGCGCGCGGCCAGCTGCTGCTGCGCGCGGCCTGTTTCTGCCTCCCGCAGCCCGCGCTCGGCCCACAGCAGCCCCGCGCGCTGCCCTGCATAGCCTGCAGCTGCATCGGCCCCGACCTTCCGCTGCTGCGGCCCCTCGCTGCTGCTGCCGAGGCCCCGACCTGCCGCTGATGCGGCCCCCACTCTGCGACTGCCGCTGAAGCGGCCCCCCACCCTGCAGTTGCTGCGGCCCTACTCTACAGTCGCTGTTACGGCCCCATCGTCGCTGCAGTCGTGCGCCTACTCGGCCCTGCTCGCCCGGCGAGCACCTGCCCTTCCAGCCTTTGGTGAGCACCTGCCTGCCTGCCTGCCTTTCGGCCTGCCTGCCTGTCTTTTTGCCTGCCTGACTGCCTGCCTGCCTGCCTGCCTGCCTGCCTGCTGGCCTGCCTGCCTGCCTGCCTGCCTGCCAGCCTGCCTGCCTGCCTGCCGGCCTGTCTGCCTGTCGGCCTGCCTGCCTGCCTGCCTGCTGGCCTGCCTGCCTGCCTGCCTGCCTGCCAGCCTGCCTGCCTGCCTGCCGGCCTGTCTGCCTGTCGGCTTGCCTGCCTGCCTGCTGGCCTGCCTGCCTGCCTGCCTGCCTGTCAGCCTGCCTGCCTGTCTGCCGGCCTGCCGCGCCTGCCCTGCCCGAGCTGCTGCTGCTACTAGCTATTAGCAAGGGACCAGATGCAGCTCCAGCGACGCTCACGCGAGTCTCTCACGCCCCAGCAGCTTAGTGAGTGGTATACTAGTTGGGGCTGTCGCGGTAGCCGTCGTAGCTGTCGCCCTGGAGCTGGTCAGTTGGGGGCCTCTAGCAGTGGCCAGCTGCAGCTGCAGCGGCGTCCTCGCGAGACACTTACGTCCCGTGAGCTCCACGAGTGGTACGCTCAGTTTAGCAGGTCTACGCGTACAGTTCGCTGCCAGTACGTCATTCGCACAGGTGCTCGGGTTGGTCAGCCTTGCGGGTGTCAAACATTATACATGTTGTATTTGTGTAGGCTGTAGTGGGTTAGCCTATAGGGGGGTCACAACATTAGGGTTTCATATTTGTACTCACAATCCTTGCTAGTTCATCATTCCAGTCCGTTCTCGTTGACATGGTTTCAGAGCAGGTCCTTCGCTAGGACCGTTTTTTTTAAGGGCCCACCGTTCCCTACCTACCTACCTACCTACCTAGGGCGCCTCAAAAATTTTTTTTTTAACGGCCCCTACATCCCGCGACCCGCGACCCGCCCCTTAAGGCCCCGTCGCGCCGCCCCTTAGCCGCTCGCGCGCGGTCGTTTTCATACGTGCGCCCCGCCTGCTGCCCGCGCGCGCCTTATTTCCCTCGCGCGCGGCCCGTCGCCTACTCGCGCACGCCCCGCAGCCGCCCGTCGCCTGCTAGCGCACGCCCCGCAGCCGCTCGTAGCCTGCTCGCGCACGCCCCGCAGCCGCCCGTCGCCTGCTCGCGCACGCCCCGCAGGCCCGCAGCCCGCCGTCGCAGCGGCCGCCCGCCCGCAGCCGCCCGTCGCCTGCTCGCGCACGCCCCGCAGCCGCCCGTCGCCTGCTCGCGCACGCCCCGCTGCCCGCAGCCGCTCGTACGCCGCTGCTTCCGCTGCTGCTTGCGCACCGCTGCCTCCCGAGCGCCGCCGCTGCCTGTGCGCCGCCGCTGCCCGTGCGCCGTCGCTGCCCCTACGCTGCCGCTGCCCGTGCGCTGCCGCTGCCCGTGCGCCGCTGCCGCCCGTGCGCTTCTGCAGCCGCCGCCCGCGAGGCACTCGCTCTCACTGTTGTTTATTTTCTACCTACCGCGCACACTGCTGCCACTGCAGCTGCCACCAGTGCGCCGTTGCAGCTCCTGCTGCCACGCTACCTACTACTGCCGCTCGTGTGCCACTACGGACTGTTGACCCTCCGCACACCTTTCCAGCGGCCTGATTCCTACTACTACTGTTACTACTGCTACTACTGCTACTGCTACTGTCACTATGGCTAGTCCTCCAGTTCTAGCTTTCGATGCCGAGGGCCGTCCAGTGAAGTTCGAAACCTGGCTAGATGACCTGCACCTGTTCCTACAGCTCACTGCCAAGGAAGATATCTCACTGTACGATCACGCCCTAGGCCATGCCACTGCCCCTGACTCGACTGCTGACAGCACTCTGCGTTCCCAGTGGCAGACCCGTGATGCGCACGCTCGCTTTGCTATTCGCAACTCCCTGCCGCTAGACGAGCGCGAGCACTTCGGCCAGTGCAAGACTGCTAAGGACCTCTACACCGCTGTAGTTGCCCGCTACTCCTCACCCGCTTCTGCCACGCTAGGCTGCCTCACTCTCCCCTACCTGTTCCCCGACCTAGCCTCCTTTCACACTGTCGCAGACCTCATCACCCACCTTAAGACTAGTGAGGCCCGCTTTCGCGCTGCTATGCCTGCCGAGTTTCTCACTAGCAACCCCCCCCCGCTCTGGATCACTCTCTACCACATCGTCACCCGCCTCCCTGACTCTCTGCGCGCAGTCAGGGACCACTTCCTCTCTCGCTCCCCCACTGAGCTCACTGTTGCCCTCCTCGAGAAGGAACTGCTTGCAGCTGAGGCGAGCATCGTCGCTGTAGGCACCTCTCGTGGCGACCCCCGCACCCCGTTCTTTGAGGGGTGTTCCCCTTCCCCCCTCCTCCCCTCTGTCGCCTCTGCTGCTGCTGTCGACCTTCTTGGTGCTGAGAAGGTCGGGACCGCGTCTGCTTCGAGCGGGCGCCGCAGGAACAAGGGGGGCAGGGGTGGGGGTGGCGGCGGAGGAGGTGGGGGTGGAGGCGGTGGGAGTGGAGGCGCGGCTGGGGAGACTAGTGGCGGCAGTGGGGGAGGAGACAGCAGCGGTGGGAGTGGTGGCGGAGGCGGCAGCGGAGGCGGAGGTGGTCGTGGCGGCGGCAGGGGTGGAGGTGGCCGGGGCGGCGGCGGTGGGGGTGGTGGTCGTGGAGGCACTGGCGGAGGGCAGAGTCAGCAGCCCGCCCCGACGCTTCAGGCCGCCCGTGAGTGGTATGCGCAGCGTGGCTTTACCTGCACGTACGTCATTCGCATAGGTGACCGCAGCGGCCAGCAGTGTGGGAGGCCGCACCCCACGCAGCGCTGCTTCGCGCGCCTTACCGACGCGTGGCGCACTCAGTTTCCTGCTGCCACTGAGCTGCCGCGCTGGGCTGATCTGGAAAAGAGGGGTGTTGATATTTGGGCTTTAGACTTTGATGCTATTCTCACTGCCATGTATGCGATGTCTATTAGTGGAGAGGGTGCTCAGTACTTGCGTGTTCCGCCCGACCCGGGCATTCAGGCCAGTCCGGCTGCCGCTCTAGGTGCTAGTGCGTCTGCTCCCACAGGTCCTGGTGAGGCTGCAGCCCTAGGTGCTAGTGCGTCCGTGCCCCCTGGTACTGAGTCGACTGCAGCACTGCACACCTTCACACTGGACTCAGGTGCTTCTCGCTCCTTCTTTCGTGACCGCACTGTCCTTGAGCCACTCGCTCGGCCAGTTGCTGTCTCCCTTGCTGACCCCTCTGGGGGTCCGGTCATTGCGACCTCCTCCACTGTCCTTCCTTGCCTGGCGGTCCCGTCCGGCACGCTGTCAGGTCTCTACCTCCCCTCGTTCTCTACGAACTTGGTGGCAGGTAGTGCGCTCCAGGACGGGGGTGTTCACCAGTTCACCCCCGCCTACGAGCGCGTGACACACTGCACGTGTGCTCGGACGGGTCGCCACCTGGCTACCTTCACTCGGGAGCCGGGGTCGGACCTTTACACACTGACCATTGAGTCCCCTCAGGTAGCTGCGTCCGCGTCTGCGTCTGCGTCAGGTCAGCTGTCCGCCCCCTGCTCGTGTCGCTCTCTGGCGCATGAGACTGTCCTCTGGCACCACCGCCTTGGTCACCCGTCTGTGCAGCGCCTTCGGGCCATGCACAAACGGGACCTTGTTGCTGGTCTTCCCAGGGTACTCCCTCCCCTTCCAGACTCGCCTGCTCCTCCCTGTATTCCCTGTGTCGAGGGGCGGCAGCGCGCCGCTCCTCACTCCTCCTCCTTTCCCCCGACGACTGCTCCTTTGCAGACGCTCCACTTGGACGTGTGGGGCCCAGCCCGCGTCCGTGGCCAGGGTCAGGAGAGGTACTTCCTGATTGTTGTTGACGACTTCTCGCGCTTCACCACGGTCTTCCCCTTGCGCGCCAAGGGTGACGTCCCTGATGTATTGATCCCCTGGATCCGCAGATCTCGTCTCCAGCTCAGTGAGCGTTTCCGCTCCGACTTCCCTGTCCTCCGTCTGCACTCTGACAGAGGTGGGGAGTTTACCTCTGGCCTCTTGGAGGCCTTCTGTCAGCAGGAGGGCATTGAGCAGTCGTACACGCTTCCGGCCTCTCCACAGCAGAATGGGGTTGCTGAGCGCCGCATTGGTCTGGTCATGGAGGTCGCTCGTACCTCCTTGAGCCATGCGGCTGCCCCCCATTTTCTGTGGCCGTTTGCAGTCCGATACGCTGCGCATCAGCTCAACATCTGGCCCCGTGTCTCCTTGCCCGAGACTTCTCCGACACTGCGTTGGACGGGAGAGGCTGGCGATGCGTCGCGTTTTCGGGTCTGGGGATCCCGAGCTTTTGTCCGCGACACGTCCGCGGACAAGCTCTCCCGTCGCGCTGTCCCCTGCGTCTTCCTTGGCTTTGTCCCGGACGCCCCTGGCTGGCAGTTCTACCACCCCACCTCGCGTCGTGTCCTGGCCTCTCAGGACGTCACTTTTGACGAGTCCGTCCCCTACTACCGCCTCTTCCCCTACCGCACTGCCCCGCTCCCCCCCCGCCTCTCTTCCTCGCTCCAGGTGCTGAGGTACCAGACCCCCTCCCCCCTCAGGGTGCCGCTCCCTCAGGTGTGTCCCAGGTAGACCCGGGTGAGCCTGTCGAGGTAGCTGTTGACTCTCGTCCTGCTAGGGGTGCTGAGCCTGGGGGTGCTGCGTCTGGGGGTGCTGAGCCTGGGAGTGCTGAGTCTGGGGGTGCGGAGCCTGGAGGTGCGGAGCCTGGAGGTGCTGAGCCTGGGGGTGCTGAGTCTGGGGGTGCTGAGTCCGGGGGTGCTGAGCCTGAGCGTGCTACACCTGGAGGAGCCCTCTCCTCCCAGCAGCTGCAGGAGAGGTACCTCGAGTACTGCCGCCTCCGGAGAGGTGCTGCTGGAGCTCGTCCCGGTACTTCCCCTCCTACCCGGGAGCTCCCCCCCATTCAGCAGATCCGCGAGTGGTACACACGGCGCTGCAGTCTTCGGAGTGGTGCTCCTGGTGCTGCGGACCCTGGGGGTGGCGCTGCTGCTGGTACTGAGGACCCGGACGTTGGAGCTGCTGCTGGTGCTGCGGACCCGCCTGGTGGAGCTGCTGCTGGTGCTGAGGACTCGGACGTTGGAGCTGCTGCTGGAGCTGAGGACCCGGGCGGTGGCGCTGCTGCTGGTGCTGAGGACCCGGACGTTGGAGCTGCTACTGGTACTGAGGACCCGGGCGGTGGAGCTACTGCTGGTGCTGAGGACTCGGACGGTGGAGCTGCTGCTGGAGCTGAGGACCCGAGCGGTGGCGCTGCTGCTGCTGCTGAGGACCCGGGCGTTGGAGCTACTACTGGTGCTGAGGACCCGGGCGGTGGCGCTGCTGCTGCTGCTGAGGACCCGGGCGTTGGAGCTACTACTGGTGCTGAGGACCCGGCCGGTGGAGCTGCTGCTGGTGCTGTGGACCCGGACGCTGGAGCTCCTACTGGTACTGAGGACCCGGCCGCTGGAGTCTCTTCTGCTTCTGGAGACGCTGCGCGGCCGCGACCGTACTTCGTACCGCTCCTTCAGCAGGTTCTTGGGCAGGCTCCTCCTCCTTGTCCTCCTCCCTCCGTAGAGTGTCCTCCGCCTGTCCAGCCGCAGTCACTGTTACCGCCTACCTCGCCTCTCCCTGCTCCCTCTCCTTACACTGGTCCCACAGGAGGTCTTACAGAGCGTCGTGAGCCTGAGTCTCGTCCTGCGTCGCCTGTTCGTCCTGCTCGCACTGGTAGTCGTGTCCGTCGTGAGCGTCCTCCTCCTGTCCCAGGCACTCACTACATGACTCTGCGTCCCTCTACTGCTCCTCAGCGTGTCCCTCTACCGTCTCCTCCTGCGTCCTCTTTGCCTGACGTTCCGGCCCCTGAGTCTGACCGGTTTTGTGCTGAGCACCCTACTGTCACGCGTCTCCTCGCTACTGTTGTCACTGACCCTACCTTTGAGTCCTCGGCTGCGTCTGCTCTGGTCGCTGAGTTGGTTGACTTTGCTGCTGCCTGTCGTCTAGACTACGCTATATATATATATCTATACCTGCATGTTTACTCTTGCTAGGTTGTGATCACTGTATCTCTTGCTCTGTTATAAACCTGCATGTGAACTGGTCTTGTGACCACTAGCTTCTGCTATTGTTGCTCGCTACTCCACTCCCTCCTCTGCCTCCCTCAGCCGCCTTCTCGTCCCCTTTATCTACCCTGACCTCGCCTCCTTTGAGACTGTCGCTGACCTCGCTACCCACCTGCGCTCCCTTGAAGCTCGCTTCAAGGCCGCTTGCACTGAGGAACAGCTTGCCCTTGCACCCCCCCCCATGTGGCTCACTATTCACTGGTTAGTCACTCGCCTCCCTGACCGTCTAGCCACAGCCCGCGACGCGCTTCTTCTTGAGACCGCTCTCTCGAAGATCGAGAGTAACCTCCTCGCTGTTGCCTCCGCCTCTTCCGCGCCTCCTCCTCGTCTCTTTGAGGGTGTGCGGTACCACAGCTTCGCTGTTGCGGTGTTTGATATGTCTATGGATGATGCTAGGTCTTATGCGATGTATGCTGATGTTGACTATAGTGCTGCTGGATCTGTTTACTTGCCTGTACCTAGCGTAGGATCTTTGCCTGTTGCTAGAGTAGGTGCTGGTGTAGGATCCTGTCTAGCTACTAGTACAGGTGCTCCCTCGGCGGACGCGTCGCTCTCCTTCACACTGGACTCCGGAGCGACGCAGTGCTTCTTCCGCGACAGCACGACTCTTACTCCACTCTCGGCGCCGGTTCCTGTAGCACTGGCTGATCCCTCTTCGGGACCGGTCATTGCGACTCACGCCACTACCCTCCCGTGCCCAGCTGCCCCTTCCGGTTCTCTGACCGGCCTCCACGTTCCTACTTTCTCTAGGAACCTGGTTGGTGTGGCTCCTCTGGCGAGACAGCACGTCGGGGTCTGGTTTGAGCCTTCTGGTGACACTGCAGTCTGTGTGGACGGTGACACGTACGCCCCTCTGGCCACTTTTCGTCAGGAGTCGGGCTCTGGTCTGTACACCCTCCACACCGACACCCGTCCGGTTCCCCCGTCCCACCAGGTAGCCAGGTCCAGTCAGGTAGCTGTGCCAGGTCTAGTGGCTGCGTCGTGCTCGTGTCGGTCGCTGTCCCACCCTGTCCTCCTCTGGCACCACCGCCTTGGTCACCCGTCCCTCTCTCGTCTCCGCGCTATGTCCAGTCAGCGTCTTGTCTTAGGCCTCCCCCGCGACCTCCCGCCGCTCCCGCCGTCCCCCGCTCCTCCGTGCGGTCCTTGTGTCCAGGGTCGGCTGCGCGCCACTCCTCACTCCTCCTCCCTTCGTCCAGCCTCCGAGCCCTTTGAGACACTCCACTTAGACGTCTGGGGCCCCGCTTCCCGGCTTGGCCCTGAGCGAGAGAGCTTCTTTCTAGTGGTCGTTGACGACTACTCTCGGTACACCACCGTGTTCCCTTTGGCGAAGAAGTCCGACGTGACTTCTACGCTGATCCGGTGGCTGCTCGCCACCGAGAGTACTCGTCGTCGTCGTGTCAGTTGTCTCCACTCCGACCGTGGGGGTGAGTTTCGCTCCGGCATTCTCGCTAGATTCTGTGCTGAGCAGGGCATCACCCAGTCCTGGACTCTTCCAGACTCTCCACAGCAGAATGGGGTTGCTGAGCGCCGGCTAGGCCTGGTCATGGAGATTGCCCGCACCTCCATGATCCACGCCCGCGCGCCCCATTTTCTGTGGCCCTACGCGGCTCGGTACGCCGCTCACCAGCTGAACCTCTGGCCTCGCGTCTCTCGGCCAGGGGCTTCACCGACCAGTCTTTGGACAGGGTCCCCTGGTGTTGCGTCGAGGTTTAGTGTCTGGGGCTGCTTGGCGCTTGTCCGCGACACCTCTGCGGACAAGCTCTCACCTCGCGGCGTCCCCTGTGTCTTCCTTGGTTTCCCTGAGGCCTCCTCTGACTTCACCTTTTACCACCCTCCCTCCCACCGGTTCTTTGACTCTCGTGACGTCCGTTTCGACGAGTCTGTCCCCTACTACGTCCGGTACCCCTGTCGAGGTCTCCCGGTTCCCCCCCCCGCCTCTTCCTGGCTCCAGCTCCTCCTCCTCCCGCCCCTGCTCCTCCGGTAACCCCCCCTGGTCCTGCTCCGTCTGGTGTGTCCCACGCTACTCCCCCCCCCTCGGTACCCCCCCAGGTCTCACCTCCTTCCCCACAGTCGTCCTCACAGCCTCCGCAGCAGCCGTCAGCGCTTCCTTTACCGGCCACTGCGGACTCTGAGGGTGTTGGTGCTCGGGGTGAGGGCTCTGGCGGTGCTCGCTCTGGGGGTGCTGGCGTTGGAGCTGTTAGTGCACCTACAGGAGCCGCCCGTTCTGGGGGTGTTGGCGTTGGCGCTGAGCGTGCACCCGCCGCGGCTGCCCGTTCTGGTGGTGCTGGAGCTGGTGGTGTTTCTGGAGCTGGAGAGTCTGAGGCTGGTGCTGGTGCCACTGGAGGCACCCCGACTGGGGGTGCGGGTCCACCTCCTACAGGTACTAGTCGTGCTGCCGCAGGGGGTACACGCTCTGGGGGTTCTCAGCCGGGTGCTGTTGAGGGTGGAGCCGGTTCTTCTTCTTCGTCTCCTGACACCACTCCTCCTCCTCACCCCTACCTGACTCGACACCAGACCCGTCTTCGTCTTGAGCGTGAGGAGCAGCAGCGTTTGGAGCGTGAGAGGTTGGAGGTTCAGCAGCGGGTGGAGCGTGAGAGGCTGGAGTTGCAGCGGGAGCAGCAGCAGCAGCAGCAGCCGCCGCCGCAGCAGCAGCAGCAGCAGCAGCAGCAGCAGCCGCCGCAGCAGCCGGAGCAGCCTCCGGCCTCTGTTACTGGCCTTCGGGCCCTTGGTCTCCCCTCCTCCTCTCCTCCTGTGTTCGGTCCGACGTTTCCTCCTCCGGACTCAGCTCCGGCTGTGTTCCCTCGTTCTCAGTCTCCTCCGTCTCCCGCTCCGTCTCCCACTCCTCTCTCCCACACTTGGGCCTCTCGTCCTCCTCGTGCTCGTCCCTCGTCACCTGTCCGTGACCTTCGTACCGTGTTGTTTCGTCCTAGTCCTCCTCGTTCTCCTCCGTCTGTTCTTCCTCGTCCTCCTGAGTCGTCCCTCACTGCCTCCCTGTCTACTCCGGTCACTGACTACTACCGCACGTACCGCCCCACTCTCTCTCGTGTTCTCGCCTCTCTTGTTACAGACCCTCGTGCCTCTCCTTCCTCCGTCGCGGTCCTCACTGCCGCTGTCACAGACTTTACTGCTACGCGTCGCCTTGACTACGCCACTCGCGTTGTGGCGGCTCCTCCTGTCCGTCCTCTGTCCGCCGGGGGTGAGTTTGCCCTTGGATGTGCCATCCTAGAGGATAGACAGTTTGAGCTAGAGTTCCTGGCAGCCGCTTCACCTCATCTCTGTGCCATGCTGCTCGCTCCTGAGGGAGACCCCGACGCTCCTGACATACCTACTCCTCGCACTTACGCTGAGGCAGTGTCAGGGCCTTGGGCCTCTCAGTGGAGAGCTGCCATGGACGCAGAGATGGCCTCCTACAGGTCCACAGGCACTTACGTTGACGAGGTTCCCCCCCCAGGGGCGAACATTGTTGACGGCATGTGGATCTTCAAGGTGAAGCGGCCGCCGGGATCTCCTCCAGTCTTCAAGGCACGCTACGTGGCTAGAGGTTTCAGTCAGCGTGAGGGAGTTGACTTCTTTCAGACCTTTGCGCCCACCCCGAAGATGACCACTCTTCAGGTGTTACTGCACGTAGCAGCGCAGAGAGACTACGAGCTACACTCTCTCGACTTCTCCACTGCCTTCTTGCAGGGCAGCCTACACGAGGAGATCTGGCTGCGTCGTCCTCCGGGCTTCACTGGCACTTTCCCGCCTGGGACCCAGTGGAGCCTCAGACGACCGGTCTACGGTCTCCGCCAGGCACCCCGTGAGTGGCACGACACTCTCCGCTCTACTCTGTCCGACCTTGGGTTTGAGCCGTCTTCCGCCGACCCGTCGCTGTTTGTTCGTCGTGGGCGCACACCTTTCTTTGTTCTTGTCTACGTTGACGACCTGGTTTTTGCCACAGCCGACACAGTTGCACTGGCGGAGGTGAAGTCCGAACTGCAGAAGAGACACACCTGCACTGACCTTGGGGAACTGCGCCGCTACCTTGGCCTGCAGATCTCCAGGGACAGAGCCGCTCGCACCATCACTCTGACTCAGTCACACATGGTGCAGCAGGTCCTTCAGCGGTTCGGGCTTCAGCACTCCTCTCCTCCTCCCACCCCTCTTGCTGTAGACCACAGACTCACTGGGCCTTTTCCTGACGAGCCGTTCGAGCCCAGTGGTCCCTACGCAGAGTTGGTGGGCTGCCTCATGTACCTGATGACGTGCACTCGCCCGGACCTCGCCTTCCCTCTTAGCATCCTTTCTCGCTTTGTTGCGACAGGGAGACACCGTCCTGTTCACTGGGCGGCGGCTAAGAGGGTGGCGAAGTACCTCGGCGCGACATCAGACATGGGGCTTGTACTTGGAGGGACACAGCCAGTTGTACTCACCGGTCACTGCGACTCCTCCTACGCCGACGACGTTGAGTCACAGAGGTCTACACAGGGTTACTGTTTCAGCCTGGGCTCTGGAGCTGTTTCGTGGAGGTCTACTCGGTCCTCCTCTGTTGCGACTTCTACCGCAGAGGCCGAGATCTACGCTGGAGCCCTCGCTGCACAGGAGCTACGCTGGTTGACCTTCTTGCTCACTGACCTTGGTGAGCGGCCGAGCTCTGCACCGACCTTGTTTGCTGACAACAAGGCGATGATTCTCCTGTGTCGTGAGCCTCGACTGGAGAGCAGAGTGAAGCACATCGACGTCAGGTACTTCCTCCTTCGAGAGTTGCAGAGACGCGGGCAGGCACGTCTGGACTTCGTGGCCTCCGAGGCCAACACTGCAGACATCTTCACCAAGGCCCTCCAGCCTTGTGACCACCGCCGGTTTTGTCTGCAGTTAGGCCTCGTTGAGACTGGGTCTAGTTGACTGCTGTAGGGTGCTCTTTGTCTGTTGCTTGCTTGTACCTCATATATATTTGTTTGCACACTTTTGGACTGGCCTTGTGGCCCTTTGCTTGTGCTCAGATTAGGTGGTGACGTTGTGATCCACCCTGAGCTTTGTTTTCTTTCTCTTGCTTTTGACTGGTCTTGTGACCGTAGGTTGCTTGTTGTTGATTGGCCTTCCCCACTTAGGCTATGGGGGTGTGTCAAATATTATAGCCTGTAGTGGGTTGGGCTATATGGGGTACAACTAGTTAGGGTTAGGTTATGTACCCCAATTCTGTCAATGCAACACATTCCGCTGTAGTTCTCATTCAGACAATGGTCCTCCTGGACACAAAGAATCTTCGTCTGCCCCAACCCGCAAAACTGCGTCCCCGCTACGTGGGACCGTTCCGCGTTATTCGGATGTTGACCCCGGTCACGGCGAAACTCCTACTCCCGGACAACTGGAAAATCCACGATGCGTTCCATGTCAGCCTGCTTCGCCATTACGTGGCTCCACAGCCGTCCGACATCGCTCGACCCAACATCGCGCCAAGTGTTCGGCCGGTAGCTGAACCGACACTCCAGCCCTGGAAGATCTTGAATCACCGCACTTGTGCGACCCCAGCTGGACGCCACGTCGACTTTCTCCTCCGCTGGGTCGATCGTTGCAGCGAAGACGACACGTGGGTGTCGGCCGATTCCGTACAAGGCCACTCGGTCCTTCAGGATTATCTTTCCCGCCGACGCGTGCCTGATATTGACCACCTTTCTTAAGGGGGGGGGTAGTGTAAGGAATTTTCCTAATTCCTTACTGGGGCACTCCATACGCGTACAATTCCAACTTTTCGGTCTTCAGGCTCGGTCCGTCGACCTCGCCTTCCGAACGACCCCCGCGTCGCCTTCGGGTTTCCCAACCTCCAACCTGCACCCAACCTTCGCGCGACTCCGCGAACTCGGCCTGGCTAGCTTCGCTATATTATGACTAGGCCTCGTTGTTTGCGCAGTGCTTGGAATCACTTCCGCATTATTGAGTTCTGCGCACTCTCTTCTTTCACAACTCATAACAACAAGAGAGATCACAGATAGTAGGTAGGTCTGTCTATGTGATGCCTAATAAATTAGGGAAGCTGGAAGCCGCATCTAAAATGGCTTCCACAAATGAATTATACTTCAATCCGAAATCCTTTTCGGATTTTGTCTTGTCAAATGTGGGGGAGTTGCGAAAATGGCGTGCCATGATTGCAATTTTGGTACCAGGGAGGACAAGGGGTACCAAATACATCAGAAAGCTTGGCATCACGTATCTGGGTACGTTGGAGCCAGGGTATTTCTTCCGAATCACATCTGCATTTCCAAAAAAAACAAGAGGCGACGAAATCGTCTTAAGGTTGCGAATCAACATTACACTGAAATTTTAAGCTGCACTTGACATATAATGAGAATTATATGATATCGTAACATAACTTTGATATTTGATGAACTACTGCTATTTACATATAGATTGACATATAATATAGGTTTACATATATGAATAGGGGTGGTCGTTTTGGATATAGATTCTGAATGTTAATAACATTCTTTATGTTAAGTTATTCTTATTCTGTTCAGATTATTTGGTTTTATGGTGACTGGAAATCTGGAAACAACAAAACTACAAAACGAAGCATAATTTCCAGAACCAATGTGCACGACCGGACTTGAGCCGCCGACCTTCGCGATTAAACGCGACTTCGATAGCGCTGTGCCTAACACGCTGTCACATTTTGGCGCTAAAGGCAATTAAAACTGTTCCATCCTAGGGTTTCGTCAAATTCCTTTTTGCTTCGTTTCTCTTCCAACTTCTCACGCCACTCTAGCTTCTCCCGTCCCTCACGTCACTCACGCTACTCACGCCCCAGACTAGTGCTCATATTAAGGTAAGCCATATTCTCTCTATTTCTTAAGCTCATTCTAGTTGAGAGTGGGTCTTGGTTTAACTCATTATGGTTGAGAGTTTGTTTTTTAAACGAGATCTAGACGTATATGTTAACCAGAAGATGATGTATCATCCTGCCTTATTGTTGTATCATCCTCTCTTTCATTCCGTTTTGTCTAGCTCAATTTCGTCGCTTTTTTTAGTTTCTTATTGTTTCTTACCGTTCCTTCAATCTCCATCGGTTATGCCTTATCTCTCTCTCTCTCTC